ATTTGATCCTACAGCACCAAAGCCACAGGAAATCGATCAAAAGCCTGACATCTCAGGGAGGTTCAAGGTGGCTGGCCCTTTAGAAGTCGGCAAAGACCTCAGTCTAATTCTGGTTCTTGAAAACTTACAGTCCGATGCTAAGACTGTTCATGTAAATATGACTGCTTGGAGCACTGTGTACACTAGAAGACCAGTTCATGAGATCAGGAAGGACTCCATATCTGCCACTCTGTCTCCCAAGGAAGGTAATTTTTCAAAACACTCTTAATCGTAGTTGTAAAATTATTTTATCAGTAAATGGGCATTAGAAGCTGGTCAAATCCAGGGGAAAAAAATTAACAAAATGTAATCTTAAATTTCTGTGCAGAAAATGGCTGAAAAAAAATCGTATCATAGAATCGTTAGGGTTGGAAAGGACCTTAAGATCATCTAGTTCCAACCCCCCTGCCGTGGGCAGGGACACCTTACACTAAATCATATCACCCAAGGCCTCGTCCAACCTGGCCTTGAACACTGCCAGGGTTGGAGTCACACTTATAAACATTGAAAAGGCATGTTTCACACCACCATTTCCTTACGTAGTATTCACATTTTGAAAAACTTATCTAAAAAAAGGGAAGAGAAGATGGTGAGTAAACATGAGGTTTCATTTAACAAAGTTTGCATAAAGAAAATAAGGGCAACATAAGAGCATAGAAATCAACTCCAACTAAATGCGTTCTGGTCAATTATGAAGGGCCCTACTGAAAGGTAACAGGACATGGCAAACAGCAGAAACAAGAATCTTATTCATTAGCACATTAGAGAATGGAATTAAAGTGTGAGGAATAGAAACAGCTGAAACAGCCTGCTAAGATCCACAGAAAAGAAACTTTCTATTGAAAAACTGTTGAGGAGTAAAGGACGTCAGATTTTTATTTAAATTTTTTTTCAGATGCAGTTTGATAACCTTTTGGAAGAAATTTTCTACTTAGATATGAGTATTGTTGAAAGATGACATTAAGTTACTGTTAGGAGCTTGGGATTAATAGATATATATCAGCATCCCTAAAGTGAACTGAAAGATCACAAATTTGGAACTGATAGTATATTGTATTAATATTAGGCTTTGAGTCATTAGTGAGAAGCAGAAATAATATTTCATTTCTTTAATATGTAATTTGATTTCTGAAGTTGGGATCTATCAGCTTCCTCTAAAGTATTAGGAACTGGACTTTCAGTGAAGACAAAGTTTATATGCCTAATGGCACTGACATCATGCAGGCACCTCATAGTATCTTGTACTCACACAGGCTGTGTTAAACCAGTAGCTGAATTTACAGTCAGCAGGGAGGGTTTTCCCCAGATCTGATGGCAGGGACCATTGAAAGAGATTTTTTCCCCTTCTGGAGGTATGCTCTGTTTGCTAGGGTTTGTAGTTAAATCTGTTTGCTACTGCATGAATCTAAGAAATTCACCCTGCCCCCATTTTCTTGCTTACATTTGTGGAGTTTGCATTGGTGATTTGTGATCTTTTCTTTGTTTTTCATTTGCTGTCTACTGCTGGAAAGTACTTTGTGGCTTACAGTGTTTACAAGCAGCACAGCTACTCTACTTTTTTTCTGAACTTGATGTTTATTGCACAAATAGTCAATAATGTGCAAATGGCCTGGATTCAGAGACAGAGGAGACCCCTTCCCATCCAATATTCTTTGATTTGAACTACAGCATGGAAACTACCATAAAAACACATTGTAACAAAAAGTGACTAGGGAAGACAAAAGAAACGGAAAGATGTCATTCACCTCATCTCAGTGTATCACGAGCAAGTAGAACTGATGAGGCCTGTCAGATAATGTCCTATAACAAATGGAGTGCACTGGTAAACTCCTTAAACTTCAGCTTTCCAAGCAGCTAGGAGGAAGACAATACAGTCAATCTGGCAGTAGGGAATGGAGAAGGGATAACATTGCACTGAAAAAAAAACACTCAGTCTCCATAGCAAAACAATAGATTTGCATTAATTGAATTTGGCAGTGATGGCTGAAGGCCCTCCTAGTCCCAGACACATAAAAGAACATACTAATTTCAGGTATGAAACTCTGTGGGCTTATAAAAGTGTGTATGAATTTATTATTTTTTTCTTTTTCTTCCAGAAATACAATTTCCCATTAAGATACTGTACACTGAATATCAACAGCAGTTAACTACAGACAACATGATCCAGGTAACAGCTTTATGTCATGTAGAAGGTGGGATTCAAGTGCTAGTGCAAAGAGACATCACCCTCGACAATCCTGCCATCGACATACAGGTAAATTGCTGTCCCTTTGCTCTAATCGCAGTGTCAGAGAAAGGGGAAAATGAGCTCTTATAAGCACTTTCTTCACCAAAAATATTCTGCTCACATTCTGCCATGGCCCATCATAGCATCTCGTAACACCTCCTCTTCCAATGACTGAGAAGGCTTGAACAGAAAAGAATACTGAGAACCTGGCCTCTCAAGCATTTTATTTGCACAGGTACTTGGTGAAGCAAAAGTGAATAAAGAAGTGGATGTGGAAGTGATATTTACCAATCCTATTGATATGGAATTGATGAACTGTGTGCTGCAGGTAGAAGGCAATGACCTGCTCAGAGGAATCCTTGAGATAGAGTAAGTACAAGAAATGCCTTCTTCCTGCTATTAAAGATACATGAGCAAGAATGTAGACATGGATGACCTGGAAGCGAACAGTGGGATGAGACAGCACTTTCTTCTTCCTAGGAGGCCAGTCAGTGTAACATCTCGTGATGAAGTACACAACTTAGCACCATTATATCCAAGCTAGGCTTTGCCTGCATAGTTTGAGGAGTCAAATAATTGCTGTTGTAATTGGACAGAACTTGTTTTCCTGCCTATCTAGCAGGACTCACAGTTTCAGAAAAAAATACATTCTTACTCATGCAGTAAATTTTGCTTTCTATGCTACTATAGGCCAGGTGGGTTGAACCTTCTTGTTCTGATTATAGGGACAATAATAGGATATGTGACTGTTTCTGTCCATACTATACACAAATTATAGCATATATTAACCACGGAGGTTTTTTTCCCCTTCACTTTATTAAATGGACTGCAAGTGCCAATCTGGTGTTCAGCCTTCTAAACAATTTATGTTACATCAAACAGATAGACCTACACATATAAAGCAGATGCACAAGTGTATAAAAATGAACACGGATAGTTTCAACACAGGTTGCGATCTCAAAGGGTGGTACCTCTAAAAAGTGCAACCCCAGGTATACTTCATGTGTAGCTTATTCCAGAGAGAATAAATCACAAATATAAGGAGGATAGCTTTTAAAGAACAGACTAAACACAACCAGCAGATATCCCTTAGATGATTGAATTTACCTTACTAAAGTATGGCACTTGAGCACAGCTGAAATCCATAAGGCAAGCAGAAAGAGAATAGGGAAAATGGTGAATATTGCAATTAAAGTTTGGGTTGAGTTTTAATAAAGAAATTAAAAAATTAAAAAATCCAAACCAAGAATTAAACTACAGGCACACTGATTTTCAAGCTCTCCTTTCAGAAGTTTACAAAATAATTATGTTAGGTTATTAATAAACAAAGTCAAGAAACTATTAGATGGTGTTGCGATAGTGAATAAGAAGACTGGAATAAAATAGGTTCCTTTTACTATAGATCCCAGGTTCCTATTCTTATGCTTTGAGGATTTAGTATCTTGGTTTTTTTTTCCTTCAGTATTTCACAACTGAAACAGAATTTTTCAGACTGTCCCCCACTTTGTACGTATACAAAATTGCACACACATTTTTACATATGCTAGAAAAGGCAGTTATTTTTAAAAAATACCTGGGATGGACTGACTTTTAACTGAATACACACACATATAAACACAAACGCACAAAGCAACTTAACACTGTCATTTGTGCTTGAGCAACTAGCAATGGTCTACCCCATAAACTGTCCTGAGGGAATTTAGCAACCTCATGTTGCCTTACCACATAGAACTTTATCCTCAGGCGAGACAAGACAATATGACAGTGTAAGGCTGCTTGGAAAAACCATAAACATGAGTTTCCAAGAATTATAAAATATACTGGTTTAAAACATCTTAATTTTCATTCAGAATTTCCTGCCATGTAAGCACTGAGGTTTTCTTGATGCTATAATCTATCCTAATTCAGGAGTCTCTATTAACATTCTTAGTAGTGTAAGATTATTTTTTAGGTTTTTTTTAATAATTCAGTGATGTGTTTTACATCCTCTGTTCTGCATGAAGCTTTATCTTATATGATACTAATATGTCCAACTTTGTGTGCTTATCTTGGTCACCACATCATGTATTCATGAGAGACCTTAATGCATGGGTTTGAGTATTTAAATACATATCAAATAACCAAGTCCTGTATGGCCTTTTCACAGTCATCCTACACTGAACTGACAGGAGTTACTTAAGATGGGAGATAGTTAAGAAAGTCAAGATGATGCACAAGCCTGTTTACAGCTTATATTTTTCCTTATTTTTTTTCTCTTTTTCTCCTACTTTTAGTGTACCACCAGTGAAAGCCAGTGAGAAATCCAGTACAAAGCTTAAACTCATCCCTTTTGAGACAGGTCGCAAACATCTACTTGTTAATTTCTCCTGTGATAAATTTGCAGATATCAAGACCTTTAAGATGGTGAATGTGATTGACTAACATGAAGATATACAATTAATGGTGTGTGTATAAATAGAACAAAATGTCACAAGAAATCTTGTATAAGAAAATAATGAGAAAATTAGCAAAACAAAGTCCTTGCTTCCTGTAATAAGGAGTTATGAACATCGGATCACCAAATTTTTACATTGTAATTTTAAATAAACTGAGGAACAGTTGATTCTTCATTTACCATTCTGAGTGTCCATGTTGATAAGAAGAGCATCTTACCTTCTATTCAGAGACTGTTAGTTTGACATTTGTCTGTTTTTCTTTGGAAATAATTTTCTTGTATCTGCAGAAACATTCGTAAACTCATTTTTACACATTCAAAGCCATATACAGTGGACTTTCAAAGCACTGTTTCACCTTACTGCAACCGTGATACTAGAAGGCAGCCAGGATACATTCCTGGAAAAAAAGGAAATTTTTCCTTTTTTTGGTAAATTACAGTAACCAAATGAAGCGTAGGAAATGTTCAAAAAGAATCTGGGTGGTGCCCAATTTGAGAGCCATTTGACAAACACGGAGATAATGGCTTGGCTCAACACACATGGTATTTTGCACACTGCTATTTTGCACTTGCTGAAAGTCTTCTTTGGGAATCAAAGGGAGGGTAATCTTAAATTTTAACTTGAGAAGAATTAGAAATTCTTCACCATAGCTTGTGCATCAGGAAGTCATCTTTCAGAATTCACGTTTAGTAAAGCTCACTTAAACCCTTTATGGGAGGACAGCATTTAAGGCCAAAAGCTGGGTTCCAAGAACAAGTGAACTAGGTGCAGCCCAGCGAGTGACTTGGTTTATGGCCAATAATTGTACACCACTTAAGTCAATCTCTGACTGAAAATGATCTCTGTAGATGAACTGAATGGAAAGTCAAGCTAATGCTCTATTGCACTTTGGACTGCTGGACCAGAAAGCCAATAAGATCTTAAAAAGTGCCTGGAGGCAGCATTTGCCCCCAACTCTACCACATGGCACAAAGTACCTGTGACATGCCAGAGGGACTCCTCACTATTACTTAAGCAGCCCCAGTTCAGACTGACTATAGACTTTTTGTGTGCCTACTTGGACATACTCCCAGAAGGGACTCCACAACATTTGTGGAAGTTATACCAATCTCTTTCTAGTAAAGAGTAGTAACAATGCAAGTGCCTTGTTACCCTGAGGATATGGTAGTGCAATACTTGAACAATAGACAAAAATTATTCAGGAGATGAATGGAATAAAAGAGTATATTTTTCTCTGAAAGTTAGCAAGCTGCACTGTAATGTCAAGGGAAAAAGGAGGAATAAAACACTTTGAACCATTTTGGATGATAGGTGGGTGGAACTGAGCTAGGAAAAACATCTGCGACAGTGTTAAGTCATTAGTCACTTAGGAACCATGACCACTGCATTCCAAAGGGATTACAAAAGCAGCTGCTGATGCTTTACTGTGGTGAAGGTGTGGACTGGCAGGTGCCAGTTTGGGATGTAGGCCAGTCCAAGAGAGAGGTTCTGGTGGCTTGGTGAGCACCGCTGTGGGTGTGTCACACAGAGGTAAAGGTGGTGATTGCAGCTAAGACAGAAAAAGTGTTTGGAGATTTAATTACTTATGTGAGTAGCAAGGAAGAAGAAAAGAAATCGTCATATTCCAGTGGGAGCAATGTGTAACATCTGAAGCAATCACTGTAAGTACTGAGCACATGAACTTAAGAACTGGTCGATGCGGTTTGTCACTAGGGCTGTGTGTGAAGTTCAGGTAACATCAGAGGCTTGTGGCTCTTATGGTTTCCAAGGAATATGAATTAAGGAAAAGAGAAAAAGACCAACTAAAGTAGCTCTGAACAGCAATCAAATCCATTTGAGGCAGAGTCTGGAACAAGCTTTGACAGCCTGAACATCCCAGAAATTTCCAAGAGGAGGAAGAACCTCTGAATTATAATGTAAGTGGAGACACCAAGTGTGAAAAAGTGGTTTTAGTTTGGTTTTGGTTTTGTTTTTCAGGCTAGGGCTAGCATGAATAAGTACTCTCCTATTCTTTGTGGTATCAAAGAGTGCTCCTCAAAAAGGCGCAAGAAGATTTTTGTTTTTTTTGTTTCTTTTTAAATCAACCTTAGAAACAGCTGTTGGAGCTGAATGGCTGCTGCTCTTCCAGTTTGTGGGGGTTTTGTTTAGTTGTTTTTTCTTTCAAACTTGAAATTCAGACTTATTTAAGTCTTTACTGAGTGCTAAAAAATGATCAGTGCAGCTGCATGATCTTAAACAGCTAAATATTCCTTGTCACAACAATGCTACTTTATTATCTGTATCTTAAGCAAGGGTACAGAAATATGTTCACAGTTGTGAAGCTAGACAGGCTTAGAGTTTGTACTGATTAAAAACTACTCATGGTTAATAGTTTGGGGGTTCTTTTTGAAATAAAACTTCTGCCGAAAGAGTAGTATGGAGCTGACCAGCGTAACAGGTAAACAGACATTTGTTTCTGTTGAGAGTTTATAATTTCACATAAAGCAGGAGGCAGTTGGAGATAATTTGAGACCCAAAAAAACCTTCTAAAACCAACTCACAGCTGCTTAGCAAAACCAGAAGTGACATTAAGCAATCTGGAAGTTAAGTAATCAGGAAATGTTCCTTTTTCCTTCGTATGGCTTTTATGTCCCACCACACTCCCCATTTCCTCATCCTTAAAGATAACTTATTCATGGCACACCTATTATCCTTTGTAGGAAGTTCTTCTTGTCTTGGAATTAATGAGAACGCATTTCCTATGAGTAAATAATTTGGTATCTCCTCCCATAATTACACCCACATTGAGTAGGAACATTGGCATTAGGCATACATATATTATAGGAACTAGTTAATTCATTTGACAAGTCTACAGGTATTAATAACAACTAAGTACCTCTCCCTTCTCTCAAATTTCAGCTGACAGCACAAAAAGATTGCTGGTTGTTGGTCTTTTGGGTTTTTTTATGATTAACGTGACTTGGACATCCTTGAAGAACAAAGTAGAAGTTGTATGCAATTCTCATAAGCTAAGGGAATGGCAGGTGAGTTCTGCATGTCATCTGCTTCCCTTCAGCAGGTACTTTATTCAGGACTGTTTCCAAAAGATACATGCCCTGTAGGTATCTGCTCAGATCTCTTATCTGAAGGATATTTCATAATGTTATTTGTTCTTGTGCTTAATTTTCAATGTTCTATTGTTCTTATAATAGTAAGACCTGTTAGAGAATAATTTTTGAGCTAAGCAGAGGATATTGGGGGGGGGGGGGAAGGAGAGAAAAGAAATTCCCATTACTTCAGAAGGCACCATGCAGAACTCCATCTAAACCCTTTATTTGTTAAATGGTATTTCAGAGATGGGTTATGCTTTGTATTAACAAAATTAGCTCCATCCAAATGGAGCTGTGAGCATGGAGTCAACAGATGGGAATTCAAAGATGCACTAAAACTCTACCAAAGAAAAGTGGTAATAACAGTGTATCTGCTTTTTAAAGTTGAAAATGAAGATGACTATTGAACCGCGCAATTGCCAAGCAGAGTTCTCTCTTGTTTAATGATGAAACAAACATTTTGAAATCAATTTTTAAAATGTTGCTTTGCAGGGAAAGCAGCAGCCTACTGCAGTTCATTCTTCTCCCAAGTGCGTCATGTTAAAGATTCTTTTTTTCAGTCCATCAATGCTTGCTCACATTACTTCTTTGCGTGTCTTAGACTACAAAGGAAAAAAATGATTCTTCCTTGAATTTAATTATGGCACTTTTTTTTCCCATAAGTTAAATGTTACTTTGACTTCTTCCTCAAAGATTATGTATAAATTGTAGTTTAATATGCAGCAATATTGTTTCAGATCTGATGTAGTATTTCACTGCAATGCTATATGGTATGAGACAGACTTAGAACTTGTTTGAGGATCCCTACCATAAAAGTGCATGGTGCCATAGGCCTTAATTCAGCCTTTCTATCCCACTTTTTTGTTTTGTTTTGTTTTGTTGTTACTGTTTTCTTTTAAATTCCTTTTAAAATGGTGGTGGTCATGTCCCCCCATTCTGTCCCCTCTCCTTCCAACCTCACTGCATTTACGATAGTAGCATTAATAAAAGTGACTTGGAAGAATCTTCATCTCTTCTTTTGTTTTATAGATCTGACACCAACACATATCAGCTGGCAGCCATCAGTAAATGCAAGCGCACACCACACTGACAGATATGCCAACACTGAGTTGACTGTGAGGCGAGGACAAGCCTTCACTATTACTCTGTACTTCAACAGACCAAAGCAGAACGGAGAGAGCCTAGCATTTGTCACTGAAATAGGTAATACTCCCCTAGCTTGATCCATATTCTCACAGAACTGTAATCTTTACCCCTTGTACTTCTCCACTTATTCCATTTAGAGATACAATTTTTCCTGATGTATTTTTAATGCTTTCCTCTGGCTAATGTGCTCATTAATATTGAAACTGCACAATGGAATGGAAACCAATTACCCCTTATTTCTGGCAGGACCATCCCCCTCAGAATCTCATCGTACAAAGGCTGTATTTAACCTCTCTGAGGTGGGGGCGAGTGGCTGGAGTGCTGTCCAAGGACCCAGTGAGGCTGGTTATATGAACTTTACAATATCCAGCCCAGCCAATGCTGTCATTGGACGATACAATCTCATCCTCCACGTAACCTCAGGGAACAAGATCTTCTCCAGATTTCTGGGGCAGTTTGTGTTACTCTTCAACCCTTGGTGCCCAGGTAGGTACCAGGGCCCTTGCTCTTGAACACAACTAACCTATTTGCTTTCATATCTGCACAGTGAGCTTGCTGCCTCAAGCTGCCTCTCTTTGGGTCACCAGTGGCAGCAATCTCAGCTATCTGTTCAGAGATCTGGTTTTACTACTTTAAAAAGCTATTGCTGCACCTCTCCTCTCCCTTTTATCATAGAGAGATGTGCTATATGGGGTGATATCAGAGACTCTTACTTCAGGACTAGAGCAGATCACTTTTCTGTAGATGAGGGGTGACAGACTTTTGTAAATTAATGAACTTCTCAGCAACATCCTTGACTTGCACCTAAATCAAAACAAGACTGTTCTTACAGATGTTAACTGCAAAGACAACAGCTGAACTGTAAGAACTGATAGAGGGCTAATGTGAGGAAGATTGACATTTCCCAGGTCTTTCATCATGGGTTGAAAAGGGATATCTCTTGCTGCTGGTTGGTTGGTTGGTTGGGTTTTTTTTTCCTGCAGCCTTAGCATAATACAGAGGAAATGCAAATTCCTAAACACAAATTTTTGCAAACATGCAATCGTCTAGAAACTTAGATTAGCCTTAAAATATACCATGAGTTACAGGAGCTCTTAGACAACCAAGTGACTAAACAGCTTATAAAAGAAATGTAACCACAATCATCCACTGTTTTCTTCCGTGACTCTATGTTCGTCAAGGGCCCCTAACAAATGAGTCAAGAGACAAGATGAAAAAAGCTGCTACTTAGCTCAGCCTGTCTTAAAGATAGAAATAATTATAGAACTATGCTCAGGAAACTCAGACTGTCTCTGCATAGACAGTCTTTTGGGAAAAACCTTCCCAGAACCCCTTGAAAGATCACTTGTGGTGCAACTTCCATGTAACTTCAGATGGAAACCACACTGCAGGCAAGGACTGAAATATTTGACAGCTCCTGAAAAGCTTGTTCAAAGTACTGGCTCTAGAACATTATAATTGAGAGCATATGAACTTCAGAAAAAAAAATATTCTTCAAGTGATTATTGAAGGACATTTAGATTGCTCAGAATCATAAACTCATGGGGCTAGAAGGATCTTACGAAGTTATCCATGCTCTATTTAGCACTTAGGTCATTCCTGACAGATCTTTAATTCCTTCTTAAGGGTCAGCCATTAGGGAAGCTCCAGTACCTCCCCTGGCAATTCATTCCAATTAAACACTAGCCTTTCCACAAGAATTTTTTCCTACTAACCAACCAAATTTTTTTGCTTTGATGTCAGCATAAAACTTGTCATCCTACATATGATAGACAAGAAGAACAGATTTTCTCCCCTTTCTGCCCCATCCTCTTCACAAGAATTTCTGGAATTGATTACCGTGCCCCATTCCTCACCCCCTTCTTTTTTTCTACCTTAATAATTGAGTTAATTTATAAGTTATTTTCTTCATAAGTAGTATTTTCAGGATTGCTGAGCATTCTCAGTGCTCTTCTCTTTCCAACTGATTCACACATTGACATGCAGCACCTGCAACTGCACACAGTTCTCCAGGCCTGTGCTGGCTCAAAAGATTGGGAATAAATAATGACATTATTTAAAAAAAAAAACAACAAAGTGTGGACAGCCACCACAAAAACAGACTTTATATAATGTGACATTTTTAAAATAAATTATACAATCTATATATTTGCAGGAAGGGAAGGTAAAAAAATTGACTCATGAAAAGCTGGTTTTAGTATGCATTTCCTGAAATCCTGAAGCTTTTAGAAAATATTTTTTAACATTATGAAACACTGAGCTAAGTAGGCATTGCTACCTAAAGAGTGATCAAAACCTAAATATCTGCTTTCATAGCAGCTACATGTTGTGCCATAGATTAGGGAACCAACGAGTAACAATAAAAATCAAAGTGAGTGGTGAACAGACTATCCTAATAACATTCTCAATAGCACTTTGGATTAAGCAAGGAGACATTTTCATTTAGGAATCTTAGAACAAGACAAACATGACAGGAAAAGAGAGAGAAATGTCATCTGTGTGATTCTTTTCAAATGTCTATGTTAATTATAACTACCCTGAGAAGGCAGATATATCCAGTGAACTAGCCTGGACTTTTCTTCATCTTCCTCACAAAAATACAACATACAGATAGGAGATATTTAGATAACAAAGACTATAATAGAATTCGGGAAAAAGTTACATTAATTTAATGTGGAATCCCTCTTCCCCCCAGCCATATACAATAGCAGGCCTTTTCACTGAGCTGTACATGTTCAGGGAGCTGTAGCAATGCATTTTCCAAATAGCAGTTTTCCCCCTTGCTAAATCAAGATTCAAATGTTTTTGAAAGGCTGCTAGTATTCTCAGTTTTAAGTGTAAAAGCATGTCCAACTTGGGTTTCAGGTGATGATGTCTACATGGATAATGAAAACGAGAGACAAGAATATGTCCTAAATGAAAATGGAATAATCTTCGTGGGTAATGCAAAGTACATTGAAGCAAGAGGATGGTACTATGGGCAGGTGAGCCATAAGGAATTCATTTAGGCTCCTATTCCATCTCCAATAGCATTTTCTTTTATCATTACTTGCCTCTCTAATTGGCATGCCTATCTATATGGAGACTGAACAAACCTGGCCAGCCTTGCTTATGGTTTGCTCACTGTGTGCCTGACAGGACTTTCATGTGAGTGGTGACTTAACACAGCACTGAAGCTAGGACTGGCTTCTACATGTGCTTGAAGCTCATGGTATAAGCACGGACCTCATCTGGGACCAAAGCACCACAAATGACAACATACCTGTGTGCCTCCAACACACTCACTATTTTTGTAATGCTGTAACAATGGGCTAGAACAGACACTGACATAGAATCATAGAATGATTTGGGTTGGAAAGGACCTTTAAAGATAATTTAGTCTGACCTCTGTGCAATAGGCAGGGACATCTTCAACCAGATCATACTGCTCAAAGCCCCATCCAGCTTGACCTTGAATGTTTCCACGGATGCAACTCAAGAGAATCTAATAACTTCAATGAGAATAAGCTGGGCAGTTTTAGTTTTACTTTAGTGATTTCTTCTGACGGCAGGAGGCATCCTGCCAGATTTTGGCTTTAAATAGTTAGCTATGTCTTTAGCCAGTATCACACTGCAAATTGCACACTGTGCCTCACTGTCTCTTTCACCTTTGGGCTGGAATATCTTAGAAAGGAAGAATCATAGAATGGTTTGGGTTGGAAAGGACCCTAAGATCATCTAGTTCTGACCCCCCTGCCACTGGCAGGGACACCTCACAGTAGACCATGTCACACAACGCCCTGTCCAACCTGGCCCTGAACACTGCATTTAGCACTTCTTTGGCCAAGAACTGCAGTAGAATTTCCTCTAATTCTCTTTGTAAAATATTTTCTTAAAAAAATTATCATATTTGATCACAGTTTCAAGATCATCTTCTGAACATCTGTCTCACCATGCTTGATCTGAGCCTGTACTATCGTCAGGACCCAGCCATTGATGTATCCCGAAGAGGAGATCCTAAATATGTAGGCCGAGTAATCAGTTCTATGGTAAGAAATGGACAACTTAATCTGAATTACACGTTTAAGCAGAAAGCATTAGTTTACCACCGAAACCCAGTCACCCACACCTTAAACAACATAATTAACTACATATGGTGCATTACACACAATTGATTTTGTGCATTCTGTCCATTGGCCTATTTTTAGATCAATGGAAACGATAATGATAATGGAGTTCTCCTGGGAAAGTGGCAAGGAAGTTTCCACTCAGATGAGAATCCATCCAGATGGGATGGTAGTGTGGTAATCCTCCAGAAATGGCGTCAGGACAACTACAAGCCTGTTCAGTATGGCCAGTGCTGGGTTTTTGCAGGTGTCATGTGTACAGGTAAGCTTTAAGAAAAGAGGACTGTGGTGAAATGGAGGCATTTCTGACCTCTGGTTTTATCAACACTACAAAGCAATTAATTCTACAAGAGCAACAGTGCTCTGAAGACTGCAAATGCTGAAGAATCACAAAATATCTAGACACTTAACTTTGTTTCTCAGATATATGCAATCATTAAACTAAAGCTCTGTGTGTGTGTGGTTTGTGTTGCTTGGGAGTTGTTTGTTTGGGTTTTTTTTGTAGTTTTATTTTTTGTATTATTTTTTAATATATTTCAGTTCTAAGGTGCTTGGGGATTCCTACTCGTTTGGTTTCAAATTTTAACTCTGCCCATGATGTGGACAGAAACCTGAGCATTGATAAGTACTACGACAGCTCTGGAAAGAGTCTTAATATCAGCAAGGATTCCACATGGTAAATATGATTATTTTTTTTTATCTCACCAGTAATTAGAGAGAGGATTTAAGGGACTTACAAATATGAACACCAGCAGTACAAAAGCAACTGAGAGGTGCCTGAATAAATTTTTTTTTTAAATTAATACACCCATTTGGAAAGAAAACATTCTTCGTGGTTTTGAGATAACAATTCCAACAACTAGCCCAATTTTTTGCAATCTCTGATCTCCAAAAATTGCAATTTTCTTTAAAAGTATGTTTCCATTGACAATATACCTATTGCCAAGGCTCTTTTAATTACTGGCACCTAACCGGTCTGTTCATAATAATGCAGCTGTGCACCTTTCATGCTCTGAACTGGTTTACTGCTGTCATAACTACCTCTCATCACCACTATAGATAGATTATTTGGACTTTATCTCACTCAGTATAGTTATTTTGAGTTTCTGTTTAAACAGAGCATTTCCCACATTTGAAGGTAACTAAACCAAATCACTAAGTATATAGAATCATAGGATAGTTAGGGTTAGAAAGGACCTCAAGATCATCTAGTTGCAACCCCCCTGCCATGGGCAGGGACACCTCCCACTAAACCATGTCATCCAAGACTCCATCCAACCTGGCCTTGAACACTGCCAGGGCTGCAGCATTCACAGCTTCCTTGGGCAACCCATTCCAGTGCCTCACGACCCTCACAGAGAAGAATTTCTTCCTTATATTTAACCTAAACTTCCCCTGTTTAAGTTTTAACCCGTTACTCCTTGCTGTATCACTACAGTCCCTAAAGAAGAGTCCTTCGCCAGCATCCCTGTAGGCCCTTCAGATATTGGAAGACTGCTCTGAGGTCTCCACGCAGCCTTCTCTTCTCCAAGCTGAACAGCCCCAACTTTCTCAGCCTGTCTTCATACAGCTCCATATATCCACAACTTAAATCTTTCACTTATAGTTCGTATTGCTCCCAAAGCAAGCTGCAAACATCTATATTCTCTCCTTCCCTGTCCTGAGGTCTACACCTCAAAAGCAGCCAGTAAACCTATCCTTTGAAGGCGGCAGTGAGTCGCTGTAACAAGACAGCTTCTGTCAGACCTTAGAGAATTTAAAATAAAAAAATCCTTACTCCTTTCAAACTGGAAATTTGTAGGCCTCTATAGTACTGTGCTTTCTAGACACTGTTCTTTGTCTCCAGGGATTATCATGTCTGGAACGAAAGCTGGTTCATTCGCCCAGACCTGGGAACATCATACAATGGGTGGCAGGTTTTGGATGCAACTCCACAAGAACAAAGTAAAGGTAGCAGGAGAAGTTTTCATCATGACTTAACATTTTGTCTTCAAACTGAGCACGACTAATGAAATTTGAATTTTTTATTTTTTTTCCCCCATGTTTTAGGATTATTTCAGTGTGGTCCTGCATCTGTGAGAGCCATCAAAGAAGGTGATGTAGACTTGGATTATGACACATTATTTGTGTATACGGAGGTGAATGCTGACTGCAACAGATGGATTGTATACAAAGATGGAACTAAGAAAAGAGTTTATTGTGATACTGAAATAATTGGCAGGTTTATCAGCACCAAAGCTGTGGGCAGCAACTCCCGTGTGGATGTCACCTATAGTTACAAATATCCAGAAGGTAAAAGAATTATCACAAGTATCTCCTACTGAATTATTGGTGCTAGGCTAGGATGGGTAACCAGTTTTGTTTGATTATTTCTCCTCTTCCTTCAGAAAATATTCCTGCCCTTGTTTTCAGAGAACTTTCTTAATACAATGGGTATTATATTTCTGGGTTTGTGTATTTAGTAGTGTCCTTATTAAGACACAATACAAAATATAATTTAGTCCCTTACAGAGAAGTATAAAATGTAATATATACACAAAACAGGGCTATAAAATACATTTTACTACCCAAGGCAGACAAACCCTCAAGCTGTCAGATCAAAAAGCCTTAAAGCTGAGTCCATTGTGTATCATGAACCGCAGGTGTGCAGTATGGGAAGTTATAGAACAATAAATACTAGGTTACTGCCATATCTGGCAGATGAAGCAGGGCAACAACCAAGCCACCAACCTAAAACCTTAAACTCCAGTCCTAGACATCCACCTCCCAGTAAACCTCATGCTCAGTCTTTCTCTGCAAGTAACTGTTGATGTGTCTATTCCAATTCCTCATGTTTCCTTCTGAAGACCCCATTACATCCCACTCCCAAAAGAAGCGACCGATCTCCATTTCTGCCTGTATAAATTCACCAAGTTAGGCTCTCTTGTGCTCCTGCTCTGACTTCCAGTCATCACCTTGCCAATCAGTTATGTGTTTGCACTCCTGCTGGACTTGGCCTCCACATTATTGGATTCTGGAAACAAAATACTAGGAGATGGCAAAAGACGAAGTGCCACTCATCTGTACTTCAGAAAAAAATGCAACAAAGTTTAAGAACTGCATAGCCATACGTTTGCAAGAATATTTTTATCTTCCCTCAAAATCTTGTACTTATGTCTTTCCATCTTTTTTTTAAATTCAGGGTTACAGAATTCATATATTAGTCTGCTTAATGTCTGTGGCTCAGTCTTAAAAAAATGGAAAAAAAAAGAAGGAAGATATATTTAACATTTTTTAATATTTGCCGTCCAGAATCAGCGGCCATATTTCAATACTTCACTCCTCAAGGTTTTAGTGCAACCATATTTAATACAGAGACTGATCATCATCAGATTAGCAAAGTAACACCACATTACTGTATGTTCTGACCAAAGAAAAAGGAATCCTGCATCCTAAACAAATACAAATGCATTTATTTTATTTTAGTGACTTACTCACCTTAGTACAGTATGTTTATTATTCTCTTGTGAAAAACCTGAGCAGAGGCCTAATAAAAGCATGGGGAACTTTTAGGTATTGCAATATTTCTGTGTGATGCAGAGCTGACACCATGTATCATTCTGAAAGCCTTTCTACAGAGAAGGAGCAATAGCAACAGAAGTATGAATTTTACTTGGTTCTTTCCTTTGACCAGGTTCTCCTGAGGAAAGACGAATTTATAAAAAGGCCTTGGCCAAGATATTTGGGCCAAACATCACAGAAGGACACAGAGAATCTCCAGATGAAAGGCCCTCAGAGAATATTAGAAACCCTGGGATCTCTGGGAAATTCAAGCTGGCTGAACCTCCAGTATTTGGCAAAGACATTACCCTGATCTTAATTCTCAGTAACCTATCTTTTGACCACAAGACCGTGAAGGTGGACATGAATGCGTCAGCCATCCTGTACACAAGGAGAGCAGTGGCAGAGATCCTGAAGGCAACCACTTCTGTGGATCTTGGTTCTAAACAAGGTAACTTTTAATGTCCCTAAGGAGCCAATAGAGCTCTCTTAGCTACATGAAGTTAACTAGAAGGAAGAAACATCAATATCCATATCAACCTTGTAGTGCATCTGCTTGTTCCATCTCTTAACAGTATTTTTACGAGCACATTTCATAAGACATTTTTTACTCAGAAAACTTTAACTAGTTCAATCAGGAACCGAAGGTCTCATGAAATGTTATATAGAAGGCTACATTTACATTATAGCTAACATATATATTGTATACAAATAACAAATAGGTTATAAGGATGGAATAGATAAAAATGATTATATCTCTAATTTCAAGAAATATGAAGAGATAGGAATCCAGTGAAATGCAGATGAGTAGATCTCCCCGGTTTCAGGATAAAATCCTCCATTCAAAACTGTAGGGGTCAAATGGATTAAGAAAAGGATCACTAGAACAGGGAAATACACCACCAGTCTCACATGGAAGAAATACAGACTCAGCTCTCTTATATTCTGTTCTCTTCAGTAATTTCAAGACCACCACCACCCTCCCAGTAACAATCTTTTCTTTAGCATTCTTTGAGAACGTAATGATTCCTAAATACATGTCCAAATTCCAGGGAAACATATCCGATTAAAGATCCCTTATTCTTATTATGGAAAATATCTGACTACCGACAAAAGGATCCAAGTTACTGCTTTATGTGAAGTTATCCACATGCATGGGGTAAAGCTGCTGGTGGAGAAGACAATCATTTTAGAGGACACAAACATTATCATTAAGGTAAACAATTCTCTTTCTGATGCCCTGAACAGACAGAAAGAACTAAAGAGTGTTTCTGGAGCTCAGATGTTAAGACGAGAATGTGGGGATAAATGCATTATTTTAGGCTGCAATTTCAGATGTTGCTCTAAAATTCTGCCTGCTTAAATTGAGAAAGTAAGCATGCAAGTGAGCAATTTCTTTGGCTGAATCTGCTCCCTGTTCTTCTGAACAGCTCTGTTACCTTCTTTCTTTCCCAGTCACATGTTCACAAAATTTGTTTTCATTTCATCTGTATTCTACTTATTGGCAAGTGCTTGTGTTGCCTTTGAACAACTTTGCCTGCTCACAAAATACAGACTTAAACCCTTAATTCTAATCTATGTTAGGGACAGTTTATATTGTTTTAATGCTTTAACCCTAATCAATGATGTGCGAAAATAAAAAAATAAAAAAAAAAAAGCCACTTAACAACCCAAACAGCAGACAGGTTTAATGAGACGTGTCCACATAGTCAAGACCATTTACTGAACTAGTGCACAAAATATTGCATACAGCTTGACAGCACTGCTTAGCTAACCCAAGTCCAGCTTCAAGTACTGAGAAAGGAGTACCAGTTGTTAGTTAAATTTCAGAGCTCCTACCAATATCTCATTCAGCCTCAAATATGAGAGACGTTCTGCTTGCAGTCTGACTGAAGCCTGACTCCAAAAAAAGTGTGAAACAGTGAATGATTAGAAATGTGTCTTTGCCATTTAGATTCCTCGGCGGGTTGTAGTGAACAAAGCTGTTTCCCTAGAGATCTCATACGCCAATCCCCTTCCTGAACCTGTGAACCGCTGTGTACTGCTAGTGACTTTGATGAATCAACAGGTCAAGATACAGTAAGTGAAAGCTGTAACATTCACTCAGTGCTCTGACCATGACCAACAGCATGTCTAGGTTCCTCAGTCAGAAAAAAAACATAGTTGAATTGTCTTTTTCATATTTTCTATTTATGAAAATAAAAATGCTACCAAATATATATCGAGATACTATGATTCCTCAATCATGTTTTAACTTTTCTAAGTCGGAACTTGTTTAACAACTAAAACTTGCTAGCATTCTTCTTTCATGGGCAAGAAAATGGGCATGTCAAAGTCTTTTCCAAACTAGTTGATTCTACGATTCTGTATGTCAAATTCTTTTGTTTCTCTTTTTTTTTTTCTACAACTTGGCTTTGTGGTTCTATTTTTATATACAGTACCATAGCACTACAAAAATAAGTCTGAGTTAAAGCAAACAAGTAACACACTGCCATAGCTCCCCTTGTTTCAGCCCAAAAAAGAAGTTGCTCTGTTCTCCTTTAAAGTAGGAGAAAAAAACCTAAGAGCAAAATACTCTACTACTTTTTTCTTTTCTTCTGGACTCTCCTGCTTTAAGATTAACTCAGTGCTGAGCAGCTCGTATTTCCTAGGGATTTATTATAAAACAGCCTGACTTGCTGCGACTCTGTAAATATTTGGACATATTCCATAAAAATATACAGAAAACACTATTCCAGAGAAAGACAACCAATTTAGGCCAAGAGGGGACAAAATGAAGAACCCCAGTCATTAGAAAAAATCATATTATTGCCAAAATGGATACAAACCAAGCAGGCACTGGACAGAGTGCTGACCTTTGACATGAGAGTTTTCCTGTTCTCAGTTTGTGTTGACTATCCAAACTCGTACCCAGCCCTAACAAGGCATGACATAGTGCTGCTCATTTCCACCAGGCTATTTAAGAGTAAATGAAGACAGTACTATCTTTTCTCATTTCCTGGTCTGCACAGAGGCTCAAACCCTAAGTAATTCTCAAAACCCAAGGCTGGGAGTCAAGTAACTGTAGGTGCCCCCGTTATCATGCACTTCTGCTTCTTGGGAATCTCACGGTATGGCAATGCAAGCCTGAATTAATTGATTTTTCTTTCTTTTTTTTTCTCCAGTCTGGCACCACTGGCACCAAGAGAGAGATCAAAAATTTATTTTGAATTCACACCTCGCAGGACTGGGCCCTTACAGCTGCAAGTAGACTTCTCCTGTGACAAATTTTCACATGTCAAGGGATTTGTAACCATTGCAGTAGCACCTGCATAATGCATTGGAATCAATCTCCTGTTTCAGCATTAACCTGGCAAGACATCTTCCTCTATACAGGGACAGTAATAACAGCAAGGAACTTACCACAAAAGTTGGTGACCTCTTACACTGCAATAGAATCAAGTCTCCTGCTTTCACAGTGCTTAATTCTGTAGTCTCTAATTGTTTGGGGTTTGTTGGTTTTTTTTTGTCTTCTTGTCTAGAAAATTGAAGTCCCTTTCTATAGAAATAGTTTCACTGTTTTATCAAATGTCATTGTGTTAAGCTCCTTGTTTTGACTTTTCCATCAGATTATTAATACAGTCTCTTTTCAAGCACATTCTAATTGTCAGCAATAAATAAATCTACTCCTAGAACTGTATTCTTTCGTAATGAATTGTACATTCCATGGAAATATTATGAGAAATCACAAGATTGAGGATGATGCTTCTCCCTTCATTTCTCAAGCTTCTTACCTAAAGAAGTAGAAAATCTAATTTCTGTATTTTGTGACACCTATGAACTCTCTGAATGGGGAGAAAAAAAGCCTACAAAGACTGGGAAAAGTAATGTTTGGGGTCCATGACAACAATATTTCTGTAACCTGTGGGCATAGGACTGTCCCAGAGCAGACCACACATATACACATTCAAGTAAGTAACTTAATTCCTGTGTAATGTGGCAGAGTCCCAAGCACCATTAAACACAAGGGGAGACCCTTGCATTAATCTGGAAATTCAGCAACAGAAGGTAACTAACACTTTCTGCCCATCAGCGTAAGGTCACTGAAGAGAAGGAACAAATTTGTCTTCAAACCTTCCCAACGTAACTCATTCCCAGGCAGCCCCTCCTCCATACCTCTGGCACAGTGTTTGCATATAGATGCCTCTTTTGCAAGTTCCTGATCCTACATTGCTGGGTACCAGGTTTCACCTGAAACTCACTTTCAAGTAGCCTTAAAGGATTCTCTATTACTGCAGGCAATATAGCTTCTTGAGGGACTGCTAGGAAAGGTAACGACTGACAGGACACAGTAACCACCTGGCCATGTTGCTTAAGTAGAGCGTGAAGCAGTAATGACGTACAAACAGGTCTGCCAAGCCTGAAGATTTAGATTTGATGTCAGATGTATAAAATGTTTAAAGCAGAATATGGCCAAAATTCTGAACCACAGAGATGTCAGAAGTTCGATACGGACAACTTTTGTCAGACAGCTGATATTTCAGTCTGACACATCCAGACATGATCACAAATTCTTAATGAAGATAATGCACGAGAAACCATAATAAAACTTTAGATTCTTCTTTAAAAATAAATTTAAGCTGCAGGTAGTTAATTTGCCCAGGTTGCCATCAATCATGATACAAATTTGTAACAAAAACAAAACAGCACCAGACAGAAAAAACACAATGTAGAAGTGTAGGGGTGAGGAAAGTAAGTGTTCACCCCTTCCTCCTCAGTACAGTCCAGCGAAAGTTGGGAACAGTGCACAGCCTCCTCTCAGGACCAACTGGCAGGGCATGTTTGTAGATAAATCGTGAAACAGGATGAGGGAGGAAAGAGCATGAGCAAGCTTCAAGAGCGGAGAAGAGAGTGTCTGAAACTAGAGTGGGCAGGGCTCACACAGCACAAGAGCTCCATAGCCTCCTTCAGGGCTCAGCTCAAGACGTCATGCCAAATAGCTACAGAGAAACTACATACCTGTGTTATGAACACCAAGCTATAAAGAAAAATTTTTAAGAGCAGAGGCTGCCATGAAATCCTGGTACACAGGTGACTCCATAGTAATAACAATGTCATCTCAGTGGGATGCATTGCTTTTTACTAAGAAAGGCATATTACAGGTAATCATGTCGGGAACAGATCATCAGAACGTCACACCTGTGTGCTTCCAGGAAAGAATGAATTCTATGCAGTTATGTGAAAGGTCTTCAGTCAGACCTGCCTTTAAAAAAAAAAACCAAAACTGGTTTATGCTATTGCAAACTAATCAGATCACTCTGTGTCCCAAATATCCATGCTCTACGATATGTATATTTGTCTATACCTGCCCTATGTACATACTGTCAAAAACCTAAACCGACATAAACGCAACCATCCAAAATTAAGCTGCTTCTGTCTACTTCAGACTTTATTTCCTCATTAGGTCCAATTTGGGATGTTTTCTTCTCTTAGTAATTAAGACATCAGGATGCTGTTTATCATCTTGCCTCAGCCATTCACCAGTCTTAAATAAGCATAATTAGAATCAAGACTGCAATTAAAGCCATCATAAGTAGATGCTCACGTAGGACATTACTACAAAAACAGTAACCACACTGCAACCACAGGTCACACCCAAGTTGTATAAATTCTAAGTTGTACAGTTGAGTCCTAAACCTTTTGTTACTCGTGCTGGTGGAAGAGGATTCAGAATGTTCTTGCACACTTTTGTATCCATAACCTGAACTACGCACAAGTGTAGAGAAGAAGAAAAAAACATTATGGCAGGTAAGTTAAAAACAGGCTGATTGCTCCAGATATCACTCTTCCAATACAGATGAGTGACATTTGCTGAGGAAACAAGATAAATTACATCTGGCTGTTCTCTTGGCTGTTTAGTTCTTTTTAGGTTAATTGCATTTATGGGTTATTCTACTAGAACTACCAATTTTCCTTTTTTTTTTAGTAATACCAAGAACATTTTTCTTTTTTCCTGTAACACAGAAAAATAGAATAAGAAAGTATTTTTCTACCATATCCATTAACTGGTCTATACAGTGGCTTTTGCAGCCACATACTCAATATTTTTGACTTGTGATTTGGGCAAACTGCCACACAGAAATTTCAGGCTGTAATTCCTCTGTGACATCAAATTGATGTCTGGCCTCAGACAAGTCACTTGATGGCCTCTGGACTCCCAGTTCACCTCCCTGCAGTGTGTCTACAATTAACCTGTGCTATGTATGACATTGCACCTGCTCTGATTCTTACGCTGACTGGAAAGATTTCTAGTTAGAAAGATGCATCATATAACAGACACACATGGAGTCTATCTAGAAGCTGAAAAATTAATGTAATCTCAAATCCCACCATCTCTATTTCTGTAGTAGAACCATATGGATGTCTTCAGATATGAACTTCATTAAGTGATTGAAGGTGGTGGTAAACCAAGCCCATTGGTCTGCAAAGGGTTAACATGCTCTAGTCATGGTAGGAAGTTTTTGTCAAGTGAGATTCCTTTGGAATATCATATTGGGACTCTTCATCAAGGACTTTAGCAATAGGACAAGGGGTGATGGGTTTAAACTTAAACAGGGGAAGTTCAGGTTAGATATAAGGAAATTCTTTACTCTGAGGGTGGTGAGGCGCTGGCACAGGGTGCCCAAAGAACTGGTAAATGCTCCATCCCTGGCAGTGTTGAAGGCCAGGTTGGACAGAGACTTGGGCAACATGGTCTGTTGTGAGGCAGCCTTGCCCATGGCAGAGGGGGGTGGAATGAGATAATCTTAAGGTCCTTTCCAACCCAAACTATTCTATGATTCTATGATTCTGTACTGGGGAAAGGCACTTCTCAAACACATGAATTCATAGAGGGTTCTGTATTTTTTCTGCTTTGTTTCTGTTTGTTGTTTTGTTGTTGTCATTGTTTTTTTTAACTGATCAAGGATCAAGAAAGGTTGAAAGCTTTTGTAACAATCTGTGCTTAAGTGTCCCATTTTCAATAGTGGGCAATCTATCATAGAATGGTTAATGTTGGAAAGGACCTTAAAGCTCATCCAGTTCCAACCCCCTGCCCCAGGCATGGCCACATTTCACTAGAGCAAGTTGTTCCTTGTCCTATCACTACAGTACCTAATGAAGGTCCCTCTCCAGCGTCATTGTAGCCCCCTTCAGACACTGGAAGCTGCTGTGAGGTCTTCATGCAGCTCTTCTTCTCCAGGCTGAACAGCCCCAGTATTCTCAGCCTGTCTTCGTATGGGAGGTCCTACAGCCCCTGATCATCCTTGTGGCCTTCTCTGGACTCACTCCAGCAGCTCCATGTCCTTCTTATGCTGGGGATGCCAGAACTGCACACAGTGCTTCAAGTAGGGTCTCAATACTCCAAGTGGGTTTCATCATGATATAATCGAGCAATCCCTAGCACTGCCTGAAGATATACCAGACCTAATGCTACCATCTGTCCTCCACTGGTTATCTTTCTCCAACAGAGCATGAAAAAACACCTAGCTTCAAGCAACAAAACTGTAAATAACTGAGATACAAGATACAGAAGAAGATAATGTGCAAGTCCAACAATGACGATACCAGCCTTTTCTTCATCAGCTGTCATACAGCATTTCCAGGATTAGGCATACACTTGCTCATGAGTTTTAATACTTCTTTCTGTACATCTTTAAAGCATTCTGGGAACTAGAGAACTCCCCCAGAAAAACGAGCAGGAACATGGCACAGCAGAACAGCCTCTTCAAACTTTTTACAAAGTCTTATCTAAATACAATAGCTTTTTTGATTTATTTTTTAAATGAAAGATGAATTCTCCAAATGGATGTTTTTTTCTGTCTCTGAAAGTTGCCTGCATGAAAGATACGGCAGCTGTTCCTCTAAGTTGTCATTGCTTATTTTACTAGAGCATGTAAATCCAGCCATATAATAAAATTACATTGCACAAGCTGAAAAGATGTACATGCTTGAAGGAACAATGTTTTAATTAAATTGCCTTGTGTCTTTCTAGCCCTGAAAATAGTAAATGTCAACTGGCAATCCAAACTAAATAAAGCTGCACACCACACCTCTGATTACAGCAGCACAGAAGCAATTTTGAGGAGAGGTCAGGACTTCAACATCACTCTGAACCTCCGAACAACAGCGCAATCTGGGGACAACTTCACCTTTATTGCAAGCACAGGTAATTTCCCCACAACACTCTCATCCAAGTCACTGCAGCTCCAAAACACAAGTGCCTTACAGCTATGTGGTCCATTCTGGAATCATTAAACTTTGTCCTGTATAAATTCAGGATTTGTTGTCCTGTTAGGCTTAGGAGCTCCCATTTTAAAGTTCCATCTGTACCTCAAGGCAAAAGACAGTTAAGGTAACAATTAACAGAAAGGTAGGGGCCATTCTCATTCTGTGATCATTCACTTTGTGATCATTCATTTTATGATCCCCAAACATTTTTACAACTCCACCTCTCTCAGACCACAGACCACCCACCCCCACTCCTAACTCTCTGGTTCACCTGCTTAAACAGCCCTTGATTAACTTCATGTATTCCCTACTATGAGAACATCTATATGACTCCATTTGTAAACCGTGCCTTCCCAAAAAAAATTCTCCAAAAAATTCTCCTGGCAGCTATCAACTCTTAATGAAATGTGTATTACAATGTGTGACCATCCTGCCTGCATATTTTCTTTTCAGGACAACAAGCTCATCTAAAATGATTATGGGTGTGCTCACCTTTACTGGGCTGTGCATCTAACAGGTTACAGAGATTCTCTGGATCAGAGCACAGCTAGTTTACGTTGAATAAGCATTTGACCTGACACACCACAATCTCTCAATGTAGTCTTCAAAAAAATACAGAATTAAGATCATCACTGACCCCAAGTTTGTCACCTACAGCTGTCATTCAGAATTGC